TTCCCTAGTTAACGAGGAAGCAGTAAAAGTGCTCCTTCCTTTCCTAGGTGTACTATTTCATTTCTTAGAGACAAATCAGGAAGCATTTGTCATTTCAAAGTAATGTTCCAAAAAAAAAAAAAAAGGAAACAGAAAAAAAGAGTAAAAAAAAAGGCTCTAGGGCAGTTTTGCTGTCTGTAATTGTCTAAAACATAACACAGTGTTAAACCATAAAAGGTAAAACAAGGAAAAGACTCTACTAGAAAACAAATCACTGTTAGAAAGTTTTGCAGAACAAGCAGGTTTTAAATGGTGGTTCATCAGTGGGAGAGCAGGAGGGGGTGAGGGGGCACAGCCTAAAGTCACAAATGAGTAGAAAGTCAAAAGATGCAGGAAAAAGGCTCCAATGGATCTGGTCCACCAGTGTGGCCACTCTGCACTGGAGGAATGTGAGACCTGGGGTTGGAAGGATCCTCCTGGATCTCACGCTTGGGCACCTGCCGAGCTTGGCATGCCTCGCGCTCTGGTTGCACTCAGAATCTTTGCATGCTCCATCTTAAAATGACTTTGGTTTGACCCTGCTCTCTAAATAAATGAGTATGGCTTTTCTATCTAAGAAAAATGATGGCTTCTAGGAAGGGATACTTACCACAGAGGGAGAATAAATATTTTTGAGGGGAGAAAAATGTTGGCAGAAGAGCAAATGGGTAGAAACTGGAGAATAAATGTAGGCAAACTTTTAGAATCTGAGGAAAAGCCCTCCATAACCTCCCTCCTCAGATAAGAAATCTTCTATAGAGAAAGGAGAAACAAATAGAAGCAAGACATAGCACAGGTAGGAAAGAGAAGAGAAGATGAGGATATGAGGATCATGTCATATTCTCACAGAGGAAATATGATTTAACACATCCCTATTTCCAGGGAAAAAATGGATTCTTTAACATTTTGTAGGAATATAAGGCAGGGAACGCCCACAGAACCCAAACATCCTATACACTCGCTCCACATTTCCCAGTCAGAATTATAAATGCTTTCTGCATTAGCTCTCTGTGCTCAGATCTGCTAGCAGTAAAGGACGAAAGTGCTTTTATTCTCCTGTTTTCATCCCTGGGTATAATTTTCTCAGTGCGCAAGACACGGATTTTCAAACTATATAGAATACCTTTATTCCTTACAGAGGAAACAAATACTAGTGATTGATATCCTTATTTCTTTGGAAAAGAGTTTAAAATGGATTGGCAATGGCTGACATTACTATCTGTGCTGTCACACTACTGAAGACGGACATCCTATTGAACTATTGGCTGTCTACCAAGAGCATAAAAATATTAATAAGACCACTCCAGAATTTTGTAATCTTCTCTAATTCAGCTTTGGAATGAATTTATATTTGTTTCCAGAGAAATTGCCAATTCCTTTTCTGTTGCTGTTCTGTCCAATTAATAAAGTATTTATGGCCATCACATTGCAGTGGACAGAGTTTAAATCTAGCGCTGAGTGAAAAATGCTGCTTAGAAACTCAGTATAAACAGATACAACTAAATCTCTAGGACTGCTTTTCTCCCCTGTCAAAAGTAGCAGTGCTACCAGTGATGACTAGCACATAGAATGCCTGGACAATCTTTGCGATAACAGAAGTGACACATGATGTGATAAGCAACACAAATGAGTCTGACGACTATTCTGGGATGGAGCCCACTCAGCAATTTTAAAACACAACGCAGGAAGACAATCAAGCACTCACAGGCTGAGTTTGTTCTTCTTTCCGATAGCAGGTAACAATGGCAGTATAATGACTTTTCAAATCATACAGGAATATAGTTTGTGCAAGAAAATGAGAGAGGACAGACAAAAGCTATATTCCGTGATATTATAGTTTACTTAACAGTTTTGGCAAAAGTGAAATTGTTTTACTTACCCTCTGCCACCTGGAAAATTGGGCAGAGATAAAACATATGACAGTGCTTTTCTGTCATTCCCCCATGAATATGTATGATCTTAAACCTTTCTTACCCTGGACCGGAGCCAAAGGCTCATAGACTACTCGATAACCCTGCAGGACTCCATTTGCAGCTGTCGGCTCGCCCCAAGATACATTGAGTGTTGTGCAAGTGATTTCGGAGAACGCCAAGAAGCTGGGAGCACTGGGTGCTGAAAGAATTACAAATATTTTGAATTGCAGTGGGAATAGTCAATCTGATATACATATCAATTACAAAACATTGGGTTTTGTCCAGCATAAATCTAAAGAAAACAGGCTGAGAAAGGGATATACCAGTTGTATCAAAACTTCTTGTAATCAGTCAGAAATACAGCTTGTCCTAAGAAAAAGCAGCCACTCAACTGCAAAACTAAATCCCAAAAGAAAGGAAGGAGATATAACTTAGAAGGAAAAGATCCTCATAGGGACACTGACTTGGGCCTTTGTTCTCTACTCAGTTGCTGAATTTCAAAAATCTTGCAGGAATTTCATATGTTTGAAATCCACTGTCGTCTTTGGTGGAAACGGGCTGCAGACGCTGACATTTCTCAAGGTTAATTTCCTTAGAAAACTAGCTAAAATGCAGGGCTCAAAGACAGAAGGGTACTAAGTCCAAGTGCACATTTTTCCTCATACCCAGCAACAACAGCACTTCCCTTCACTCGGTGTTGGCGTGCTCCCTCCTGGGATCAGCATCCAACACAGAGGCAGCTCATTCTGACTGCGTGGCTTTTGTAACTTAAAAAAAGAGGAGTTATCAAAAGCACAATACTGCTCTCATTTAACCGGGGTTTTTCCAGTCACTGGAGATGAGTTACTCCAATTTTCAGATGTGATGGTAGAGGCCAGGCCAGACCTATAGTTTCATCATGGATCAGCTTCTGAAGAGATCCCTCATTCGCCCAGTCTGGTCTAGTTTTTACAGTATTGTTCATTTTCATCCTAAAATCCTTTCCCAAATGGTTGACTTATTTGATCCACGTTTTTCCTCCAAGACCATTACAATGTAATGCCCTATCCGAAAACTAACTCTAAAATCCAATGCCACCTCTCCCCCTGCTCATTTCCCTTAGCCGCTCCACCAAGCCAGTGCTTTGGAACAAGAACACAATCTCATACCAGCCTGATGTGTCCTGCCCTGTGATGGGCTGCTCCTTGGACCATCTCCAGCTGCATTGAAAGCAGAAATGCAGACCATGTAGCGTGTGTGGCTGGTCAGGTTTTTGAGCCGGACTGTTGTCTCCGGGAGGAAGAGGACCTTCACTTTCTCCGTGTCATTTTGGATGTCACTCTCCCAGTAATAAATCTGTATGAACAGAGAGATGCTGAAGTATATCCTACACCTAGCTTACAACCTGAGTATTGTAGGCTATAAAAGATGGTCAGGAAGACGGTGTATCTTGCTCCAGACTCCTCCATTAGGTAGAATACTAACACTTTTTATCAGGTGCCCAAACTTTATTCTTCCTTTAGCAAATTCCCCTGAGTACAGTGACAGGGTGACTGAGTACATCATTCAAAAGTAGAGCACAGGTTGAAGAATATGGCCTAGTGACAGTAGATATGAACTTCCAGAGTTCAGTAATGAGAGGCCAGTTTTTAAATTCTCCCTAAAATGCTAGCTATCTGTCAGCAATGGCACCCTGATACACTATATCTATAACTCGCCTCTGTATGAACAAAATAGTTTCACCATTTGTGTTCACACATGGTATCCACATGGTTGTGGATAGCCAAGTCAAGCTTGTTATTGCCTTCCTGAAAGGGGTAATAAAGACTTTTCCTGAAGTTCCTTGAAGTACTTTTTCCCATTCTCTCCTTACATAATTTTAATCCTGATGCCATAAAATTAGGCTTCAGAGAAGATGATTCCAAAAGAAAATGTGGTGCCAGCCCTACTTATTGGACAGCCTGGCACTGAGAGCATTACAGCAGGCCAAAGCAAGCCAGAAAGTTGATGGAGAAAGGCCAAGGCAAGGGTCTACCTTGGCCCTACAAGCCAAGCTCTTAGAATCATCTATATACATGTGAAAGGAAAAGTACATGAATTGATATATAAGGTTGCTTGTCACTGCCAGGAAAGGATGCCAGATTATTTACAGTGGCTTGGCTTTTCTTCACTTATGGACCTAAATTCATGGAGGGGGCAGAGCCAGACACTGAACCCAAGCCAAGTTCCACTGTTTGTAGACTTGCCCATTTCTACTCTCTCTGAGGGTCCATTCTCATTCTGGAGAGGCTAGCAACATGCTTCTGCAACATGCCTCATCTCCTACAAACCAAATGCAATTAATACTATGATTTAATTTTGTTAAAGCTAAGGGAATGAAACGATTCTTCTGAAATCTGACCTGGCTCTGGCTTCTAGTCTAGAGAAAATTCTAGTTTTCCTGATGGCTTGTAACATTCGATAGACAGAAAGCTCAGTTAATTTCCTTTCTTTTTCTTCTTGCCCCTAGCTCTTTTGTGTTTGCTGCTTTTTGGAGCAGACATTGCCTGCATGAGTGGAGCTCCCACCACTGTCTGTATGCCCTGTTTCCCCATCCTCTCCTTCTCTGCAAATAGTAAGACACCCTTTTTTTCCTTTTCTCTACTTCATTTCATTTCTTCTGGTTTTGGGACACAGCACCATTTCCTTACTGCTTTCATTTGCCTTACGTATTGAGGGTAGCCATAGTTGTAGAGCTATCTTGCAAGTAATAGCAAAGCCAAGCAAGATAAATGAAACTACTAGAAACAGAAGGATTGCCTTGTAGCCTTGTATGTTCCCATTTTGGCTGTCGACAGGAGGGGGGTCCCAGGTGAGCTCCAGCTGGCTTGCGGAAAGGGAGTTTACTTGGATGTTCTGCGGGGCCATGGCTGGTGCTAGAAGAAAGAAGGACAGAAGAATTAATACCGACAAGCAGAACTAGTTCATATCCAGGTTGCCATTTTCTGTTTGTGGAATGACCCAGGACAGACTCTGTTTACGCCACAAGTCAGCCAATAGAGTTAGCCCTGAAGCCATCTATATCACAGGGAAGTCTCAGGTATAAATCTGCAGCACACGTGGATGGAGGATCAGCCAAGCCTCTGGAGCTGGTCACATTTTCTGTCTCACACTGACTGGGTTAGACAATGAATAAGCCCAGCAGCTTTGGGGGCGGAGGGAAGAGAGAGAGAGAGAGAGAGAGGGAGGGAGGGAGGGAGGGAGAGAGATTGAGAAAATTCTTTATACTATGGTAATGTTTCAGGCTTGCCTTTGGCAGTGATATGTTCCTGAATGACCACTCTTGAAAGCACCTGGGTGACCAGAAGCAATGCCAGTTGCCTCTTGCCACCATCAGCCTGGCCTTTCTACTTGGTTACAAGGCTTTGCAATGGCCTGTTTGCATCACTCCAGCAATTAGGGCCAAAATACCATTTGAAATTACCTCCAGAACAGGTCAGATACAAATCAGTTCAACTAATATTCCATGTAAAAAAAGAAGGCTTTTAGTTTGACACTTGTTAGCTCTGATTTCATTACACCTTCACACATACATACTGGACCTTCTCAGCTCACGATGGCATTTCTTCTTCACACTGCACTGTACTAGAAAACTCATCTTTCCCTTCCTTTGAGTGCACCTGGGTCACGCCATCTTTCCTTTTTGTCATCATCCAACTTGGTGCAGGTGCATTTTCCTCCCCAGTGGCTAGCAAGGACGCCTCCGGCAGATCTTAACAAAACCGCGCATGTGCTGTCTGCAGAAAAGCTGCTGAAGCACGACCTGCTCAGACTCCAGAAGTAGCAAAGGAAAGGCAAGGCAAAGGGCACACTCTTCTCCTTTCTCCTAGTTCATGGTGCTGCAGCCTTTGCCCAAAATCCCTGGGAAAGCTACCTCTTTTCTCTGTGCCCACTTATGGGCCATGAATAGAAGTGATAAAACATCCACTACTCAAGTATGATAGCCCTGGTTATCTGTCCCTCTGGAGAGTTCTTTCTTTAGCAAGAATGACCTTCATAAGTCACACTTTTCCACCAATATTCCCTCCGCCCAGCGTTATGAAATAAAATAGTAATTAACACCCACTCAGCCTGACACCAACTATTTATTTTGTTCTAACTGTGTGGTTTCCATATTATCACTGCCCACCCTGCCGTTAATGGAAATGTTAATAACCAGCGCCAGGTTGTTGTGACAGATGCTTGGGCTCATTATCAGAAATTCTTATTTACCGCTCCATTAAACGACAGAACTGCACAAAAAAAACAATTCAATCAAAACTAACTGGAGGAATTTTAACAGCTACATTAATAATCCAAAACATAAATAAAGTTAATGTCTTTTGCATGTTTGCCATCGGCAACTCTATTGCAAAATTATTGTTCTACAATTAAAACGTGAAAGGCAAAATTGAAAATAGCCATTATCCTAGTGCTCGGTTAAAACTGTTTGTTTATTATATTTTTTGTTTCCTTTTGGATGGAATTGGGTGCAGCGAATGCACGAGGTGACAGTGAGCAGCAAGCAGAGCACAGCGAGGCTCGTTCGCGGGGCACGCACGTGTCTCGTCGCTGCCCCGTCTCCTCCGCGTCTCACGGGGGAACGAAGGCGGCAGCGAGCTGCATTCACGGCAACGCAGCGCTCTTCTCTGAAGGGCCGAAAATCTCAAGATTTCGAGACTTTTACAGCACACATCAGGGTGCGAGGCCAAACCGTTCACACAATACAAACCTGAAAACACGGCTCGGCGATTTGCAGATGATGACATGCTCGGGGAAACAGGAATATGCACAATCACGGAAAAAATGGATCGCTTTAGCAATGTGTTTTCTTCCTAACTAGTGACCCTGTTCTCTGTCCTGAGCTGACAGCTTCAGAGTACTCTCAATATGCAGGTCTGAAGTGCCGTCTACAACACCGTTTTGACTTGAACTCCACTTGCCAGGCTAGAAAAATGCTTCAGAGATGCGACCGTCAGGAAGAGCTGGTGGTACAGCCCGTCGCCGCACTCACCACCCTTTCCGCAACCCCTTCTGGAGCACGTCTAAGGCACACAAAGGTTAAAAACTGCCGACCATCATTCTCCACTGACACCCTCACTGCTGGAGCTGCACTTTTGCTGGCAGGGTGTTGGCAAATTTGACAGGAGAAAACAACAAAAAGATAGTGTGGAAAAAGCCATTTCTCTTTTCTACCCCAGAGCTTAGACGACATGCAAATAGTGTTTGGTTTTGTGCCCTGTGAGTCTGTCCCTCTGCTCAGCTTTCAAAGGCTGGGGCGTCCCTCCCCTGGTAAGCACAGATTTCATGTTGGTAACAAGGGACAGCAGAAGAGTGCTGCTTATGCTTGATGCTGCTCTGTGCAGACAGCACGTTAAGGGTGAAATGAAATACTGCAAAAGACGTAAATACATCCCTACAGACTCTACCTGTTTGAAACCCCAAACCATTCGCCGAATGCATGGGGAGCCTGTACCAATAAAAGCAAATACCTTTGAAAGGTGAATTCAAAAGCCTTTTGCCTTCTAGAAATGCAGTTCTGAGCTTTCTGAGCTCTGAGTTTTTTCATGACCGTTGATATCACTAATACATAAAAGCAGGGTTAAAGCTGCATACCCCACACTGCTGTAGGTGTTAGTGACATTATCAACTACAGCAGGAGTGACACGGACCCCAGGGGTTCACTCTCAACTCTTAGCAGGTAGAAAGCATCTCACTTTCCCTGAAAAAAGGTATGCATTCATCATGTCTGAGTCTGTCCATGTATCCTGCATTGGCATCTCAGGCAGATATTTGCAAACATTTATTTTCTTACCAGATTTCAATTCACCTTTAAGGCTGTCTCTGAAATTCTCTCTCTGCCAAAAATTACGGAGAAAAGCCTGAGCAGACTGCACAGTAATTAGTAGAAAATAATAACACTGGGCTGGGATGATGTTGGCAGGACTGTGCAAAGACAACAAATCTATCTGGAAACACAACAAGAGGGAGAGTCAACATGTGCTCATGAATAAAGTTACACACCTAAATCCACATTTAAACATCTCGCTACCCTGATTTTTCAGTCACGTTGAACAGTGTCTGCTCATGCTGCAGCCAATCTGAGCTCGCAAATGCCTACAACCTCTAGAAGAGGTGCTTAAAATCCCGAGGGGCCAGCCTGCACCAGAGCTCCTCAAACTGCAGAAGGTTCACCTTAGTTTTTCCTGCCGCTTGCCTGGCACATTTGCTCTGTGGGCTGTGTGGCGCTGACAACTTGCCATCAATGCGCAGGTACTGCTGCGCTTCCATTCCTTTTCTTAGTGACAGTTGCTACGATGCTCTGTAGCACAGGTAGGCTACAAATCCTTGTGATTCATCGTCTAAACTTAATAACTGTTTTTATGAAATATTCTTTGCTGCTGCTATGTCTGCTCAAATTCTGGTAGCCCAGGAGTTCTCCTCTACTGATTTTCCTAGTACTATGTCAAGAAATTTAGAGACAAGTGGGGGTAAGACGCCTGATACTCAAGCCATTTAAACAAACATGCAGACAAAAATGAGCAGAAAGCTGCAGTGGATGAGATTGAAGTTTTTCTATGCATCAGCTTGATCCCACAGTTTCAAACAATCCAGGTAGATTTCTGTTTCGTAAAGACATCTGATCCTTTTCTATCTGGCAAGCACTTTCCTCTCAGTTCATCAAAGCACGGTTTTGTGAACATGCCTGCTTTTATTCCCTAGCAATCGATATATTTGCATTTTGGTGTTAGCACCTAGAGGCCAGAATCTCATTGCACAATGTACTGCATAAACACAGAACAAAGAGACAGCTCCAGGCCTGAAAAGCTTCTAATCCGTATGGCTACACATTATAATGGAGAGGTAGTTGCAGCATGTTCCAGCGTATTAGCAGTAATCTTATCTACCTAGCCACTAACGACAAGAGAGAAGACACAGCAATGTCCAATTTAGCTGGTGCTAACAATTAAAGCATGCACATGCAGCACCTCAAAAGTTTACACCCGGTTTTACCAATCATGGAAAAACAGAGCTGGAAAAGATCTTGGGATGGGTCAAACAATCCATCCTCCTGCGTCATCCCGGGGAAAGCTCTGCTGGGCAGATCTTTGTGTAATCTTGATCATGGACCTCTTTCCAGACACCCCCCGCTGCCCCCACGCAAACTCTGCCAGCGTAACCCCATCTTCAATCTTAGCATTTAATCTTAGGTTACGTTTTTTCTTAATGCATTTTCTTTTTCGCATTTAAGCTCTGTTCCTACAGTGGACATGGAGAACTGACTGTTCCCTTTCGCTTTGCAGCAGCTGCCCTCAAGTTATGGCATAGATAAGCAATAGTTAAGTGGATTATAAAAACCAACCACAACAAAAATGGAGAGGTCACAAGATGAAACAGCACGACTACACTGATTAGCAGGGTGGGCACAACAAAAAATTTTCTTGCAATATTGTCTCAGAGAAGTGCAAGGATGGTATCTTTCAAGAGCGAACAAAGAGGTATCTCTGCAGATGTTTACAATCACTCCTTCCATGAAGGAAAAGCTGCACGAGAGAAAACTGTTCAGTGTTTATTGGCCACGTCCTTTGGGTGTCTGTGAAAAGGAGGTGGGAGGAACTAACTCGGTCTCCGTGCAGCAACACCTCTGGATGCCATCAGGAAGCCGTGTGAACTATGCTGATTAATTCAATAACAATAAGTTAATTGTGCTTCAGAAATAACTACTGTGAAGCAGCCTTCCGCTGTGACAAAGCAGTACAAGTTGTATTTGGAATGTAAAAGATATTTCCCACCAACTTCTGGCTGTTTTAAGCTAGGCTACATTTTGTGATGAAAGTACTTTTTTTCCCTTTTTTTTTTTTTTGGTGCCTTCCAGTATCACTGAGATCTATTTTAG